TAAACATATATGTACTGTATTTCTTTAAATATAATTAATAATAAATATTATATAAAAAGAAAATAAAGAATCTGATATGTGAGATTATATTAATTTATTAAGTGTTTTATTTGCATTTTGTAGCAATTATTTGCACAAATAGTGAGTTAAATAGTTTTTTTGCTTTCGTTCCTAAAAAATGCTTACAAATATCTATTCGTAAGCATAATATTACAAATAGGATTCAAACATATTATACTTGCACATTTTTATGTATTACCAGCAATCACATGGGACCGGGCTTAATTGATTAATTGTTGGCTTGATGTTTAGATTAATTTAAAAATAAATAAGGTTTAAGGCTTAATTGTTTAGATTAATTTAAAAATGAAACGAGGTTTTTGGCAATAAATATTGCATAGACTAGGACCCTCCATCCAAGCTAACATGGGATTGACAACGGATCTGAATCCCTAATCCGTCATAAAAAAATTGAATAAGATATTTTTAATTTTTTAATAAACATAATCTGAATCATGTTCCTTGTTTTAATCTTTTATCAAAATCTTAAAAGCTTTCAAACAGATTTGCAATTATATTAAATAAAATGAACATGCGGATGGGTTGCCATTCCTGAATTACATAAATAAATGCAAGTTGTCGTATAAGATGAAATGTGTAATAAGATGTGTCGTCTCTGTTCAGAGGTGAAATGAACTCAACACATTGGTGAAAAATTTCCCGAAGTTGACAGGCGCGCTTTCGATTGACATTATGTCTTCAAGAAGGCCCTTTGCTTTGATGCTTTCGCAGTTAGCGATGCAGATATTTTGCGTCATTTTCAAAGATCGGCTCGATTCCTTTTAAAATGAGTGAATGGGGAGGGCTTATTGGAGTTTGACCTACATTCCACTCGTGGCAATCAATAGGAGGTTTCGGACGGGATCACTGCGTTCTTCGTCTCACCTCATTTTCGGTGGGATTTGAAACTTGCACCTTTGAAAAAAGAAAAGGTTAAAGTACTTTATTCAGAAATTTAAGTTACCTTGGTGTGTAGGGTGAGAATAGTTTTATCTATCCTACTTTTTTCTTGGTTCGTGTTGGTATCTCTCGCACTTAATACAGTGAACTTTTTTTTTCCTAATTTGATCCTTTAACTTTTCCAATCAACTTTTAGTTTAAGATTTAAGAAGTTTTTTCATTCTTTTTTCACGATTTTTTTATTTTGCTTCTTAGCTTAAAATAAATTACGAGTAAAAAAAAAATTAAATTTTGGTGTTGTAAAATGTGAAATGATGAGAAAGAGAGTCAATTGAGATTAGATTCTGTTATGTGTGGAAATAGATGAAAAGTATTAATGTTATGAAAAAAATTAAAAATAAGCCATTCGTAATATTTCTAAACAAGGTCTGAATTATTTTCGTCCAAAGAATGAATTGGGTAATGAGTAACATTATTAAATAACATTATTAAAAATACATATATCATATGTAAATAATTCATTACCTACCCTCAAAAAACATTGTTGCAAAAATGAAATAATTTTTATGCTTACAGAAAAACGTAAAAACCAAACAATATTTTAATTTACAACAATGTATATTTTGATATAAATTAAAATAATGTTATAAATATTTATATTGTTTTTTTTGTTTGTATTGTATTGTTTTGTTTTGTAAATATTGTTATAAATAACATATATTACAATAATGTAAACTAAAATATTGTTTGGTTTTTACGTTTTTCTGTAAACATAAAAATTATTTCATTTTTGCAACAATGTTTTTGTCATTGTGCACATTTGCATTTCATTATTGCATATTAAGTCTGAATTAAAATGATATAAACATCTTTGGAATAAGTTTCTTGAGAAATTTCAAACATAATTTTATTTAGGAGGAAAATGGGTGGGTGTGAACTGACATATTTAAAATATCCAGATGTTATTCATTTTAATTTAAAATAGCAAATTTATTTCAAATAAGAAATGTATTGGATATTAAAAATCATTCTTGATTACTTTTCTCTCGTGAAATTTTTTTTTTAATTAACTCGCTTCTAAAAAGAGAGCAGGTTCACATTATCTTTGCGAGCTAGATTTTATCCATGCATGCATGTATCACCTTATTGATGCAATTTTTATTATTCAAATTTTTATTTACTCCTTACCATCTTTACTTCTTTATTTTTTTAGGGTTTTTGAATTACCGATTTTTCACTCTCAAAAAAAAAAAAAAAAAAAAAAAAATTTTTTTTTTTAAACTTTTTTTTTCCTATAAAGAGTGCACTTGCATAATTTAATTATTGTTTAATCTGAATGGCCCTGCTTTATTTGTTTTCAATTTCCTTCGCATACATCCAATTCCTCCCTTTTCCGAATTACGTGCGCGCTGGATTATTCAATGTCACTTATCTTTTTTGCTATCGTTCCTTCTTCTTAGGCAATTACTTTTTCAATTACGAGTCACCTTGTTTTGAATTATTAGAGCACGGTGCTTTTTTTTTTTCCTCCCCTATATCTATTCATTTTTACTTCTCCCCCTATATCTATTAACATTTTTTTCTTCTTTATGTAATGTTTGATCCGATTCATGGAGGGAAAATGTTGACAAAAACAGTAAAGAAAGATGAGATTGCGGAATATTCTCATGTATGATACACGCCACTAAAATAGAAAAAAATATCTCTCTTTCTCTCTGTTTCTGAAATCCTTCTCTCGCACTGCTTTTAAGTTTTTATTTTCTTTGCATCTTCCACTTTCTTTTTTTCTGTCTTGATGCGATCAATATAAGACAACTTCAAAATGGATCAGAAGGGAAATATCCGAAATCCTCATGTACTACTGTGCCCAAAAAGTAAGACCCATTTTCAATTTAAAATTACCGGGGCTTATGGAATTTCAATTTTTTTTTCTTTTTGAACACAAAGAGCCCTCTGGACGACCATCAACCTCAACCGACGATGCTCACGTCCAAAGAAGTAAAGATTTGGTGCTTGCAAAACGTCGATTTACAATTAGAGACCTTGCTGATGATGTTGGAATTTCAAAAGATTGGTCAATTCCATTTCGGCCCTCAAACGAATCAAATCTCGATTGGTACCGAAAACACTGAATGCGCCAGTTCACACTCCATTGATTCTCCGTGACCTTTTCGCCAAAAATGAAACCCATATCGTTCCACAACCCCCATATTCACACCGTACGACTTCTAGCTATTCCTTAAACTCAAAAGACCACTCCAGGGACACCGTTTTGAGTCGATTGAAGAGATTCAACGTGAACCGCCGTGCGCTTTGAAGGCCATCCCTGCCGATGACTTTTTAGCATGCTTTGAGGATTGGAAACAATGTTGGCATAAGTGCATTGTGTCCGGAGGGGATTACTTTGAAGGCGATGAAATAAATTTCGAAGAATAAATTAAGAGATTTTGAAAAAAAAATAATAATTGGTCTTACTTTTTGGGTACAGTAGTACCTATTCATATTTTTTTTTCAATTCCTTCTATTAGCTCACACTCTCCCTATATATATCTTGTTCAAATTTTCAATCGTTCATAAAATACTTTTTATTCATCCACTCAAGTTCTAATACATTTTTTTTAACTTGTAGTGGAGGACACTTGATATTAATACAGTTTTTTCAAATATTAATTCAGTAATTAAATTTAATTAATTAATTTTAGTTATGTTTTAGATTTAAGTTGCCTATATCTACCAATAGATGGCACCAGATAAATTTAAAAAAATGAATGAAAATTATTTATAAAGGACTTTTTGCAATATAGTGGAAAAAAAAAGTAGGAATTGACTTCAAAAAAAATTTTTTTTTCTTATATTACTTGTTTTCTCTTCATGTTAGTATTCATGGAGGAAAATGTTGACAAAAATAGTAAGAAAAGATGAGATTGCGGAGTATTCTCATGTATGATACACGCCAGTAAAATAAAAATAAAAAATCTCTCTCCTTCTCTGAAATCCTTCTCTCGCATTGTTCTAAGTTTTTATTTTCTTTGTCTCTTTCTTCACTTTCTTTTTCTCTGTCTTAGTAGCGATCAATATGAGAAAACTTCAAAATGGATCAGACGGGAAATATCCGAAATCCCCATGTAATGCTCTTTCCGCGAAAATGGATTTTAGATAGAAATGGGCGAAAAGCACTGAGAGAGAGAGAAAGAGAGAGAAAAGCATCTGAAATCCATTTAGCAGCAGTTTCCCGTCATTGCTATCGAACGCGATCAAATCTCCTTTCATAAAGTGTAAACTAACAAAAAGATTTCTAATAATGACATTATTTCTATCTTTTCCGTTTTGATTTATTTTCGTGTTCGCTAAATAACAAGTCCAAGGAACTTTTATTTTTTCGTTTAAATCCTACTGTAATTCTACTGTAAAAGTCTTTTAAGGAATTTAATTGAAACCTCTTGAGGGTTATTTTTATTGTCTAGATACTTTATATTGAAAGCAGTGATTCTTAAACCTTTTTTGTTCTGTGCTCTTTTTTCTCTATTAAGGTGTTAGTTTCGGTCTTCCTATAAGATGGAGTCTACGAATATTTGGGAATGATATTTTTAAATGTAGAATGAGTACTACATTTGGGAATAATGTTTTTAAATGCAGAATGACTACTACATTTGGGAATAATGTTTTTAAATGCAGAAAGACTACTACATTTGGGAATAATGTTTTTAAATGCAGAAAGAATATTACATTTGGGAATAATATTTATGTTTGTTGTTTCTTATCCCACTTGGCTGGCCAAGCCCACGAGCCCGTACGTACTCATGATTGAAGGGGAAATGAAAAACAGCTTCTGTTGTGATGGAGCACCCGTAGGTAGAAGTTGACTTTGGCTCCGTGACGCTCTTAAAGTTAAGACCGGGACCTTTTTTTCGGCTATAAAGGTGGATTCCGAACCACTACAGGCATCCATGGCACCGCCGGGATACGAATTTGGGAAAAACCTGTGGCACCGAGGCACCAGAGCGCTAGACACTCGGCCATTCAGGTCCCAAATTGAATGCCAACGGCACGCGGTGTTCCCAGGTGGTCACCCAGAAAGTACTGACCGCGCCCAATGATGTTTTTAAATGCGGTGATCTAACGAGAACCGGTATATTCAGCATGGTATGGCCGTTGGCATAATATTTATAAATGCATAAAGTGAAAAGTTTCATTATTAAAATCTTATCAGTGCAAATTCTGGCGTTTATGGCCGAGTGACTGGAGCTCGGTGCCATGGGTTTCGAGTTCGAGTCTCGGAGGTCTCATGGATGTTTGTAGTGATTCGGAATCCACTTTATATCGTAGGTCCCTGTCTAATATGACTGTTGGGCGTAGGGCTGACAACTTTATCCCGTAAAAAGAAAACATCCCCTGTCTCAAAATCTGCCAGGCTTTGGTCCACGACTGGGCTGTTGTTCCAATGAAGAAGACGGAAATTTATAATAAATACGAAAATCTAGTGCTACATTATCAAGATTTTGGCGTCTTTAAATATAAATATTTTAATCGATGTGTCTGTAAAAATAAATAAGATAATGTTTCAAATCCATATAAAAATACAGTTCAGCACTTTGTTTAAAAGTTTTCTTTTTTGCAATGTCTTAAAAAGTTGTAGCTCTGTAATAAATGTTTTACAATAATACTTTTCTCTTTTAAATGTATTCTTTTTTCAATGAGTTGATGTTTTTTACTAAAATAGTCTTTATTTTCTTTGCAGGGATTGGAAAGTGTTCCAACTACGAAGCTGTCACTGTCCAGTAAACTAACCATACCCACTCCGCGGATGGATACTTACAGATTCTCCATGGCAAATATGGAAGGTCAGTTAATATTAATTGATAAAATTTTCTTGCAAAAAAATTTTAAACTGCAGTTTAAGTTTTGCGATTCAGTACGATGTTATCATAACGATGGAGCTTTCGTGATTGGTGATGCGATATTTCACTTCATGGTTTTAATGTTATTTTTCAAAATCATCAAATGAAAATTTAATTAAATTTTAACAATGAAGCCAGCAATCGATAAATCAAATCAAATACATTAATTAAAAAAATCAAATCATATACTTTAAAAGAACTCGACTAAATCATCTTAAATAAAATAAAATCTTATAAATAAATTTTTTAGGTATTCGCTCTTTTCCTACTGTTCTAGCATTAGTTAAAAATGTATTTCTCTCTTTATGCTGTGAAAGTATTATATTTTCTATATTAAAGCAATAAGCAATTGCAATCTGCTCGAGCAAGAAATTAATTTTCAGATTTATAAAAGCCTTGTTTAAAAAGGTTTGACATCTTTTATTAGAAACATTTTAAAAATGACACCGTGAAAAAAAAAAGTTTTAAAAGTTACAACAAAGTGCAACACAACAAATAAATGGAATTACTATCTTCAAGGTCTACCTTACAGGCTCTTAATAAAAGTTTTTCAAGTATGATCTTGAACATTTCTTTTAACACAATTCCACTTCTTGCACAGACTGTGTATCCTGCAATGGATGCCTGCTCATGTGGATTTGTAATTGAATGAATTTAGGATTCCTTGACGAATAATGTCAGAAGTCTGGATCAGACTGTCATTCCTACTTCCCTTGAAAATGCCTTTCAAAATTTAAACTTATCTACTACTCTCACAAGATTAAGAATGAAGTACCACAAAAATATGAACATTTCTGCTGCTGGCGTTCAAAAATACCAAACAATGGGGCAACTGCCCTGATGCCGAGCTTACTCCTCATCGTGTCTTTGATTGCCCAGATGTTGCATCAGCCATGCATTGTCTGGACCACCCCGCGGAAGAGGATTTATACTCCCAGCTGGCAATCCACATAGCCAATATTATTCGGGAGCACCGCTATATTTGATTGTCTTGGACTTTTCAGGGGATACGACAACAACTTCATTTCTCTTTATAGTTCGAGTCAAATGAACAGTGCAACTTAAATTATAAAATTCTCAAATAAATATTTAAAAAGAAAATCTTCCATGGGTAGCTTTAATTTATTATTACTAGTTTATGTCTGTAGATAATTTTAGAATGTGAATAAGCTATGATATTTGAGAAGTAACTTACTGCAAACCATGTTTTGCAGCTTCGCAAATCGTGTAAGTGGTAGGGTTTTTATGAGAGCTGATATTTTTTTGTCTAAATGAAGTTTTTGCTTATTGTTCATTTTTTTCCTTTGCAGACAGTCAAGACATAGAACTTGATGCCATTTTAGGAGAGCTATGTGCTCTGGAAGATAAGTTGGATCGCGAGATGTTGCCAAAGAGTCAGTCTGCCAACCAGGCCCTGGGGAACGCGTGGATGAATTCCAGACCCACTGGGGGTAACGTGCCCTGTCAGAATAATACGAAAAATCAACTGGAGCCCAAAGGTACTTCTGGCCACAGTCGGTCGAATTCTGGCGGAAGTGGAACCAGGCCCAAATTCGAAATTGGAGGACTTCAAGTAAGCATGAATTTAATTAAATCAAGAACTTTAATTTGAAATTTAATTATTTAAAAAGAATTTCAATAAATATTTTGAGAAAGGGATTAGCGATAACGTGTAATAATAATTTTTTTTTTCTTTACTATATTTATACATTTGTTCAGAATTAAGTTTTCCTAAATTTGATATGCATGTCTTTATTTTTGACAGCAAAATTTTCCTGATTTTTTTTTTTTTTTTTTTTTAATGTTTGAAATTACAGCTATATATCTATTTTTTTTAGTTTGCCTCTAATCTATATGAAAAGGTTTGCTCAGAAACAATGGTTATTTTTAGTACAATGACATTCATTATATTTTGAGAAAGAGATTTCCGATGTGTCAAAATAATAATTTTCTTATTTTTATACACTTGTTCAGAATTAAGTTTCAAAATGTTTCTTAAATTTGATAAGCTGGTCTTTATTTTTGACAGCAAAGCTTTTCTGAAAGTTTTTTTATTTAATTTTTGAAATTATACATGTATATATATATATTTAATTTGCCTCTAGTCTTTATGATAATTTTGCTCAGAAACAATAATTATTTATACAATGGCGTTCATTGCGATTATGAAAGATTTATAATGTCTGTTGGAAATGTGTTAAATCTTTCAATAGGCATTTTAATTTTGTTGTATTTATTATATTATTAATGGATTTTAAAAATTTCTTTTGTCTAAAAACAAATATTATTGATGAAGATGCATTTAATGTGTAACTGAAGACAATCTGTTTATGTATAATTTCATAACAAAAGATTCTTTAATTCATGTTCACCAATAATAGTGTATTTTAAAATGGGTTTAAACTGAGATTTTTTCATCCACAGGTGGACATGTACTCGGAGGAGTTCCTCCGCTCCCAGAAGAGCGAGCTGAGCCTTCGGACGGAGAGCCCGGACAACGACTCCGCCTTCTCGGACAACGTGTCCATGCTGTCCTCCGAGTCGTCCGCCTCCTCCGGCGGCGTCAGGGGAGAGGGGCACTCCAGCAGGAGCATGTCGTCGCAGAGCAGCTGCATGTCTCTCGCATCCTCCCCAACACAGGTGACTCACCTCTCACATTAGACGCGTCCAATCTCGTTATTTCAATGTCCTCCCATAAAATGAAAACATACGTACAAAAACCAAATCTTTAATTTTCCTTAAATACATATCACTTATATCCACTATAAATCGTAGGTTCCGGTCTAACATGACTGTAGAGCTTTGGTGTACGGCTGACAAATCTACTCTGTAAAAAGAAACATCTTCTGCCTCGAAATCTGCTAATAGTAGGCAGACGGCCTTAGCTCACCATGGGGCTGCTGCGCCAAAGAAGACATATCACTTAAGATGCGTCCATTGAGTTTTGTAATGGTGGATTCCTATCAAAATACTAAAATCTCAAGCCTTAGAGAATCAGCCAATTGAAAACTATTTTGATGCGCCACGTTACCCCGTCGCTTTCAATTTAAATAAAGTATAATTTCTACTTGACACCCTATTTCTGCAGAACCAAAAACCCTTCATTTGATAAGAAATCTTATCTGGTGGTTTCCATAGCAGCCTTTGGTGTAAACCACGTCTGTGAAAAATAAGTTTCTTCTATTCACTCGTGCCTTAAATTTTCAGGAAACCTTAAGTTAAGGATTAATTCGGAAATATTTAAACTAAGACATTTAGGCGTTTTTATGGAATTGAATATATCTGCTAATGACATGGACTTATGTTGGAAAAAAATTATTAAAATCATTTATTAGAATCAAAATAGGGGATAATAAGTCTGGTGCTTAGCACGTTGAACTTTACTATTAAGCCCGTCCAATGGGTTGGAGGATGGTTTACACGTTATTGCTTCAGTATCATTGATTATTCGGTTACAGAGAAGGAAGGCGTGAACTCGGCAGATTCTCCTGAAGATACTTATTAGTATGCCATTGCAATTTGAATATAAGTTCAACCTCCCAGATATATTGTTCCATTATGAATCTCACTATAATTTATCCATGGGCATAACATCATTAATAATAAATAAAAATAATAATCCATGTAGCATCCTTTCAATAAATATTGCTTTCGTTAACCACCATCTAAATCTGTAATTGAAGAAGACTATGAATATCGAGCTTCGAACCAGAAATTAAAATTTTTGACTTACTTCTCTAACTATAGATTTTATCTCTCGTATAAGATACCTTTCCATTTCATTCTCATCCACGAAGTTGTAAAAATTTCAAAAGCATTGGATATAGTGAAATATATATATCTAAATACAAGAGAGGATAAAAACTTGGAGAGACTTAGAATAAAGAATTTAAAAATGGATAAATACATTGATTTATTCTATAAATAATCCATCTAGCACGCGTAAAATGAAGCGTTATTGTTACGCACATTCGTCTAATTAGTTTTGGCCGGATGTCCTAATGATCAAGATAGAAAATAAATGAACTTATTTATAGAATAAATCAATGTTTTTAATCCATTTTCGAAGTCTTCATACTGATTCTCTCCGAGTTTTGTATCCTTTCTTGTATTCAATTATACATATTGCTAAATTTAGTAGAAGTATCTTTTTATTTAGCCTAGAACATTTTTACATATTGTTGATTTTTTTTTTTTTTCGTAATTATTTTCAGTTAACTGTCATTAATAATAATTTTTCTTGCAAATAACCATAT